TTCGGTTGGTGTAGAACAAATGGTCCATAAAGGGTTAGCTTTTGACTTAGAGTAGGTTTAATGTTTTGGGTTTGAGTTAGCTTTCAGGTCAGGTTTTGATTTGAGTTTGAGTTTAGGACAAGGGTGTTTGCTCGTTTAGGGTTACTATGAGGATCTTTTTAGGGTCGGGTTTTGGATTGGGTTCATGATTAGGTCTAGAAGTGGGTTAGCGTTAGATTTAGGTCAGGGATTGGGTTGAAATTAGCATCGGGGTTGGGGTGTGGGTTAAGGGGAGTCTAGGGGGAGATGGTTTAAGTTTTAGAGATAAGGTTCTTCTTAGGTTTTGAGTTAGGGTCAGGGTTAGGTTTACAGTTAGGTTACATTTAGGGGTAGTGTTAGGGTTATATTTGGGTTTACAGTAACCGATCAGGTTAGTGCTAAGGTAGGAGTTACAAATGAGGATAGGTTTAGGGTAAGCATTAGGATTCGAGCATGATCTATGGGGAAAGTTAAAATTTCACTTAGCGTTAGGGTTAGTTCTTGAGGTAAGGTTAGGTTTGGATCAGGCTAAGAGGTATCTTTAAATTTAAGTTAAAATATAAAGTACAGAGAGGGTTAGCATTAGGTTTAGGATTATCGTTAGCGTTGGGTTAAGGGTTGAGCTGATGAGTAGGTCTTGAGGTTTGGTTCTGAGTTTAAATTGGTGTTAAGTTTTGGTTTAGGTTTAGGTTTCATAAGGGTCGAGTTTTCAGATCAGGATAGGTTTAGAGATAGTTCGAAGTGTGAGTTTATGATTACGGTTAGGATTAGGGTAAGGGATATGTTTCTGTTTAGGCTTAGGGTTTAGTTTGGGGGTTAAGTTTAGTTTTCGTTGTTGATAATTCATGTTTGAAGTAGATTCAGGGTCAGAGTTAGTGTTAGGGTTTTCTTTGAGGTAAGGGTTTGGGTGTAAATTAGGGTTAGATTTATGGGTAGGGTTAAGGTAATGGCCAGGTTTAGGATTAGGTTTAAAAATAGGGATAAAGTTAGGATTAGATTTTGAGTTAAGTTTAGACTTAGAGTTAAGTTCTGGGTTCGGTTTACGATTAGGATTAAATTTATGGTTAGGATTGGAGTTCACTTTGAGTTTGGGGTTAGGTTTACAGTTAGGGTAACTTTTGGGGTTTTGATAGGGATAAGCGCTAGTATTAGGGTTATGATTCCATTTAAGATTACAGATTGGTTAATATCTCAATTTACATTAGGTTTCAGATTAGGGTTACATTGAGCCAGAGGTCGGGTTTTGGTATAAAAGTAGTCGAAGCTAGGTTAGGGTAAGAGCTAAGGTAGTGTTAGTATTAGGAGTAGGTTTAGGTTTTGAATGAAGGTTCAGGTAAGAGTTAGGGTTGGGGGTTCTTGTTAGCTTGAGCATGGAGTTGATGATGAGGAGGAAAGCTTAAATTATATTTAAAGATAGCTTTGAACGTAGCTCATGGAATTAAATTTGGATGAAGTGTATGCTTGGAGTCGAGGTAAGGAAAGGTTCATGACTGCCGTCAGTATTTGGGTTCAAGCCGTGACTTGGCTTAGTGATAGGGTTAAAGATACCTTGAGGTTAGGGTGTGATTTAAATTGGGGTTAGGATTAGGTTTTGATTAATGGTTTTTTTTAGAGTTGTAGTAAGGGTCAGCAGTAAGCTGAGGTGCGGGTGAACCGGTGACTCTAGATGAACTGAGTTAGGGGTAAAGGTAGTTTGAAGGTTATCGTTTGGGTTTTCATGGAGGTCGGGTGTAGCATTGGGGCTCATTCTACAGTGAGGTTCTCGCTTAGGGTGAGGCCACAGCTTTAGCGTAGGTGTTAGGTTTACAGCCAGCGTGAGCATTGAGCGGGGTGGTGAGCTGACAGTTGACTTTAGGGCTAGGGTTGAGTTAGGGAGAGCTCCATAGTAGACCTTGACCTCATGTAGGGGGTGGGGTGAGGGCAAGTCTAGGGTTAGGCTTCGCGTCAGCTTTGAGGTGGGTTCGGGTCTTGGGTTCGGTTAGTGGGGGAGGGGGTGTGCAGGGAGGGCTCGAGCTTGGTATTAGGTGCAAGGGAAGTTAGGCCCAGGGTAGGATTGAAGTTTACGTTCGGGCTTTCCAGTCTGGTGTGGGTCAGGTGTCGGGCGAGCGTGAGATTTCCATTTGGAGTCAGGGGCAGGGGTAGGGTGAGGGACAGGGTCACAGGGAACTTTGCGAATACCGTTTAGGGCGACAGGAATCTGTGTGTTCAGGGTTTGCATTGTCCTAACGGTCCCGGTTCGGGTTCTCGTTTGGCTCGGCGAGCTCAAGATAGTCACTTTGTGACACGCACTCCAGCTCAGGGGGATGTCCGTCTGAAGTCGGGAACGCCTGGAGCGCCACTCCGGGGCTCCCACAGTGTGTGAGGACTGTCTGAGAAGACCCCCTACCGTCCCTCAAGGGGAGGGGTCCTTGCCTGAAATTATCCACTCTTTTAACCTTAGTCTCCCCTCCTTCTGCCTGTAAAAAACCTTCCATTGTACAACCCGTTGGCGCGCCTGTCCCCTAAGCGCATGCTGCCCCGTCCATGAATCGATCAGACAGCCAATTAAATCTTCACGTTTTCTGGGTTGAACTGTTTTATTAACACTTTTTCGACGTTTCCCCTCACCTGTTAAAGATGAAACGTCACTCATTGCTTTGACGTGGTTTCTCATTTTTTTTTTCTGGCATCTTCTAACTCCTGTGCTAAGCGATGATTTCCTGGGATCACGGTTGCAATACTTGGTTGAGGGGCAGCTTTAAATGTACCTCGCGTGCGTGTGCGAGGCCACCCTGGCCAGGAGTCCGCGGCGGGGCCACTCACACCAGTTACCGAACTCACACATCTCTGGGACGTGGGAAAAAGACTGAGTCCCTGGAGAAAAGCCACACGGACGTGGGGAGAACGTGCAAACCCCACATGGACGGCCCTGGCCAGAAACCGATTTAACCACGGTGACCAGAGGACTTGCGAGAGGATGTCCTGTGCCTGCGCAGCACGTGGCACAGATTTGTCGTCGCTGGCTTTCAAAGCCAGCCCACAGATGAAGTCGACCTGCCCGTCACGAAAATGCCAAAACACGTCTGGTTAAACGGGCCAAAAGAGACCGCTTCATGTCTCGTTTGCCCGTGCTGGTCGTGTCTGTGATCGTGAAGATAGAACATGTCATGTCTGTAAAAGTGATGGAACATGTCACGTCTGTAAATTTGATGGAACATGTCACATCTGTAAGCATGAAGATGGAACGTGTCATGTAAGTGTGAAGATGGAACATGTCACGTCTGTGATTGTGATGGAATGTGTCATGTCTGTGTGAAGATGGAACGTGTCACGTCTGTCATCGTGAATAGAAAACGTGTCACGTCTGTCATCGTGAAGATGGAACGTGTCACGTCTGTCATCGTAAAATGCCAAAACACGTCTGGTTAAACGGGCCAAAAGAGATTGCTTCATGTCTCGTTTGCCCGTGCTAGTCGTGTCCGTGATCGTGAAGATGGAACATGTCACGTCTGTGATCGTGAAGATGGAACGTGTCACATCTGTAAACATGATGGAACGTGTCACATCTGTAAATGTGTCAACGTCTGTGATCATGAAGATAGAACGTGTCACGTCTGTGATCGTGAAGATGGAACGTGTCACATCTGTAAATGTGTCACGTCTGTGATCATGAAGATAGAACGTGTCACGTCTGTGATTGTGATGGAACGTGTCACGTCTGTGATCGTGAAGATGGAACGTGTCACATCTGTGATCGTGATGGAACGTGTCACGTCTGTCATCGTGAAGATGGAACGTGTCACGTCTGTCATCGTGAAAATAGAATGGGTCACGTCTGTAAACGTGAAGATGGAACGTCACGTCTATAAACGTGATGGAACATGTCACGTTTGTGATCGTGAATAGAACGTGTCACGTCTGTCATCGTGATGGAACGCAGCGCGTTGCATGTGCTCCTGCGTGCAGCGCGTTCGACCGAGATGCGACATTCTGAGCTATCAGGGCACAGACGGCCTTTCGTTTCAGATGTTAGCATATTGCTGTTGGTGTGGTCCCCCTGACAGAAGTCGTTCGTTCTTTCTAGCCAGGCTGTTCCCTTCGCCATTTTAATCAGGGTGTGTCGTCTCCCGTACCTTTCTAGAACCGTTTCTTTCAACAAACGTTTGCTCAATATAACTGCGCGAGGGTCATTTCCAAAACAGGACGAAGGTGGTATCCAGAACTACGTCATGACCACAGGAGTCTGAGTGGCCCCGATTCGTCCTCGCGACCACATCCTCACCGAGCCTCACGGTGGGAGGGGCGTATTCCGCGGCCTTTGGCTTTGGCCTTGGCCAGGTGACTTGCTCTGGTCAGTGGCAAGTAGGTATCACTAACGGTGTGTCAACACTCACGAGTGCCTCCTCCCTGTGCCTCGACCCAGTCGGCTGACTTGCCCGAGGGAATGAAAGGTGTCAAGCTGAGCCACAATAGTCCCAGAGCTGCAGGGACGAGCCAAGCCAGCTGTGAGTTAACAGCGCTTGGCTCTCAGAGCCCGAGTTTTGGGGTGGTTTCTGAGGTGCTCGCCTCCTAAATCAGCCACGAGGGTGGGAGCTGTGAGGAAAACTGCCTCAGCCTGCCCACCGGGTGGCCGCGACCCCCCCCACCACGTCCTGGACACGGGATGGGCTGGCCCTGCGCCTGAACCCCAGCAGCTGGCAGGCAGACGCTGCACCCCGAGTCTTTAAACCGGTGAATCCGTTATCTGCATGATGTGTGTATAGAGCGTTAAAGAAACACATCAAAACATACCGGTTCCTGCGACACCCTAAACCCGGCCGCCTGGGCCGAAACCTGTTGTTCTGTGTGCAGCAGAGCGCGGTGCCGGCCGGTGGCGCATGGGGAACCCCGAGTTTCACGAAGGACGTAAAGATCTGCACGTTCGCAGGGGAGCGGGGAGCCGACCTCGATGGCGGCCCCCCGCCCCTGCACCTCGAATACGCACCCCACATCGACACGCAGGCTGGCGGCACAGTGAGCGCCCTTTATTTCGCCGTTTGTAGAAAACTGGCATTCGGATTTCAAAACGTACGTCACAAAAATCAGCAGCGGCGGCGGCGGGCACTTCGATGCCGCCGCGAACTCTCTGCTGAGACCAACGGAGCGATCGCCCCACATTCGCAAAGCGGGGCTTGTCCACGTGGGCGCGGCGCGCACCCCGCGGCGGCTCAGGACCCGTTCGTGACCGTGTCCTCCTCCATCTCCTCTTCGCCGTCGTCTGCGGGGCCTGCAGAAAAACACACAGAGTCACACCGACTTCGCGTGAGCCCGCGCATGGCATTCTGTGTGGCCGCTGTGCGTGACGCCTGGGCCAGGCGCACGGACACCGCGGCCTCCGCCCGGGGCCCGCCTGTGTCTGGCGGGTACTGGACGGGGTGGTTACCTCCTTAAAAGAGGGTCGCGTCACTGCACCCCGACTCCGTCACGGGGACCCTGCTGTCTCCTCCTCTGGCCGCTTACCCCAGGCCTTGACCTTGGCTCGTGCTGGGCCACTGCACTTCAAGTGTGCGAGGCCGCTTCGCCACGGGTGTGCTGTGCAGGTCCCCCCTCCCCTGAAGGCCACTGTGCCTTCACCCTGCTCAGCGGCCCGCACTCAGTCTGAGGACACAGAGAGCTTGTGACGATAACGTACGTTACCACGGCTGCATCACTTACCCCGGGTCTTTTAAAAACAGTCATTCGGTAAAATAAACTGATGACGTTAATGTTTGTACTATCATAAAAATGAATCGTACTTTCCAAAAACAAAAACGTTCAGGGGGAAGGATGGCGAGACACTGTGCGTCCGCCTGGCTCCGTCGCGTGTGACGGGCAGCTGGCTGCAGGACACCGGCCCTGGCGCCGTACGGAGCGAGGGTGGCGGGCACGGTGGCGGGTTCTCTCGCTGGCCTTTGTCCCTTTTCTCTGCCCAAACTTGACAAAGCGGTCGTCTCTTCACGGTTACTTTGCAAGGTGGAGCCTGGAAGCTCATCGGGGAACGTTCTCTGCTCTTACTTGGAAACCCGCAGGTCCGCCCTGTGCTGACTGGACCGTTCACACGAGACTCTGTGACATCGTTTGGGAAGTGCTGGCTCACCGGGTCACGCAGACGTCCCAAAGGTGGACTCACTGCATTACACGGTGTCAAAAATGTGACGTTCGAACCCCGCGCGCCCCGGGGCGCCGTGGAGGTCAGCCAGGCGGGGGCGGGTTTGCCAGTTTGTTTCTGCTTAAAAGTCTGGGTTTTATCACTAGCAACAAACAGCACAAGCTGCGTCCTTGAAGCGTCGCGCTCAGTGCGTGTTCGCGAAGAGGCCGGTCCTCAGCGGCGACGACAGACGGCCACGCGCTTCCCGCCCGAAGACGCTCGGGGGCCGCGCCACCAACGG